AACAATATTTAATTAAACATTACTATAGCGCAGTTTTTTGACACGAGAATGTAAATAGATTTTTAGAATAAAGAGGTATATATCATTAAAAGTACATTATAAAAAACGTATAAAACGTTTTTGGTAGTTCATATATAATTACCAAAAACTACTAAACATTTACAGATTTATTAGAAATAGAATAGAAATTAGTTATTTCATTATTTGTTTTAGTTGTAAAATATGTATTTCGGTTAATAAACGGACATTACGTCTTTTCCCAAAATATAACGTAATAAACGTTTTGAACGTATCTCCCATCAGAGGAGACCTTTGCCCAGCAGTTGGCAAATTATAGCTAATTGTCGAAACTGTAAATGCTAATTATGATATTAAAAAAAGACAAGTACTTTTTAAGTTACCAAGTCGCGGAGGTAGATGCAGACAGGCAGACGCTATTTGCATGATTACATTAACCGCCTAAACATAACCTAGTTGGCACAACGCCAGGTTTGGTTCAATGACCACGAATCAAGGATGTCACAGAGGTAAATATATAAACAGTCTCTTCCATTTCAATGCCCTGGAGCAAGTGATTAGAACATATTCTTTCGAAAATTAAAAAACATATTTAAAGAACAACGATTCTTTCATACATAGTTTTCGGCTTCTTGAATCGTTGGCAGCGCACGCAACAGAAGCCCACAAAGATTATTAATTTCCCCCTTGTTTTTCACATGCCCCATTGGATCGCAGCCTGACGTTTTATAGCCTTCCTCGATAAATGGACCAATATAAACATTATTTTACCAAACCAAACCAGTACTTCTTAGATTAGCGCATTCAAACAAACTGTTTGGCGTATATGAGTATAGATATCATGATAGTAAATATCAGTCCCTAGTGTCTAACGGTTACCTTCACTCAAGTAATACGAGATTCAGGACCTGAATCCCAAAAATGGTGATAGGGCAGTACGATATTTGGGAATTTAGTAGAGTTACAAGGAAGGTGTGCCGTGGACAAAATGGTGAAATGAACAGTACCTACTTGGGATTTTTTGTGGAGTTAAGAAGACGGTGTTCACCATCATGAATAAGTGGTGGTAAACACTGTCTATAGTTTACGCGAGTAGTACACATTTAAAAAAAACACTTTAACGGTTTAAAACGCGATATATTAGTTAAACTTATTTGAAAATGATTTTTAACTTCGGCCAGACGTTTCGGATGCTTTGTTTGAGTTTGAGTTTTAAACCGTTAAAGTTTAAGTGGTGGTAGTCATTTACACACAACTAAATGTAATGGGTCATAACTATTAAATATTGTATTCTATGAGAGAGAAGGTTACCTAGTTGTGGGTAGTAGTTGTTATATATTGAAACGGTAAAATTTTGGTAAAACTGTAACATCGACAAATAATGGAATAAATAAAATGTCAACGATCTATTGACAAAAGGACTTGTAGCGAAAGATTAGCTATAGACAAAATACAAATATGTTTTTATGAAAGTGGTCGCAACGTCCAACATTTGCGTATTTAATATTTGCTCACGGTAACAATTCCAAATGATACAAGAATAAAATGGATACGGCATTTAGTTTATCTGCCTATTGCGTAATTTAAAAGATAGCTCGTTCTTTCGTCGTGCGACATTGCATTATAATTAAATAATAGCTTTTTATAAAACACTTTAACGGTTTAAAGAGCGATATGTTAGTTAAACTTATTTAATTTTTAATTATTAAAGTTAGTTTAACTAATATATCGCGTTTTAAACCGTTAAAGTGTTTTATTTAAATGTGTACTACTCGCTTAAACTATAGACAGTATTTAAATAATAGCTTACTACTTAGTATTATGGATAATATTTTACAATAAAACATTTAAAAGATCAAAAAGCCGACTTGTGGAAACGATGTGTGTCAGTCATGTCCTGCTTTTTAATAATAATATCCTAAGTACTGACTGTAGTTTACGTGTTCGTACATGTTTAAATAAAACACTTATTCATTTTTTTAGTTGTAAGTAAAATTGCTTTTAGTTAACTTCATTTTAATGTTTAAATAAAACACTTTAACGGTTTAAAACGCAATGTATTAGTTCAAACTTATTTGGAAATGATTTTTAACTTGCAGCAGCCGTGGTCACGGGGAGACATTTCAATGTATTTAAAGTGCGGCTCACCGTTTCAAATGCTTTGCAGCAGCCGTTGTAAATACTACTCCGCTGGCGCAGCGACCCAAAGTGAGTCTTGGCCTCCGAAACTAAAGAGCGCCATTTTTGCCGATCCTGTGCGGCTGTTCGCCATTCGGCTACACCGAGCTCGCGCAGGTCCTTCTCCACGGCGTCCTTCCAGCGATATCTTGGCCGGCCGACAGGTCGGCGGCCAGTTGGAATTCCGATATACGCTTTCTTGACACTCCGATCATCTCCCATTCTCTCCAAATGGCCAGCCCAGCGGAGTTTTTGGGATTTAGCTTCCCCCATTATATTGGGTTCGTTTACGAGGTTTTCGATCTCCTCGTTTTTCCTGATTCTCCAGCTTCCATCCTCCCTTTGGGCCAAGAATCTTCCGCAAAATCCTCCTTTCGGCCACCAGTAACTTTTCCTCTTCCTTAAGCGTCAACGTCCATGTCTCGCATCCGTACAGTAGAATAGGACGGATGACGGTCTTGTAGATTCGGATTTTGGTTTTCCGGGTAAGTAGTTTGGACGTTAACACCTTATGGAGGGCCGCGCAACAACGGAGGGCGTTTTGGATCCGGATATTTATTGCATAGCCGTTGTAAATAGGGTTAGTAAAATATTTCGCGCTTTGAACCGTTAAAAATGTTTAATTCAAATACCCTATACGTGTATACCGCATCCATAACGTATGACATCGTAGATCGTTTGAAATAGCGCGGATCAATAAGTAACAACCAACGGCACGTGGGGTCCGTCGTAACCCTAACTTACCCGAAATAAATCGAAACTTCGTTCATAGTCTGATAGATCGACGAACCCAGAAGATAGATCGTTGTCAATCAAATATAAATTACTATCGCTAATATCAACATTCCTTTAAGTGTTTAGATGCTATAGGCTTCAGCTACCATCAAGTGAACTTCCCCTATTATGAATACTTCGTTTGTCTATCATTAGGTTGGATCTTAAAAAACGCGATAAATAGTGCTAGAAAATTCACGTGTTATCGATAAAAAAAAAATTTAAAATATAATGCCCGTTTAAGAGTGAGAGATTTTTAGTCAAAATAAAATAAAATATACTTTATTCTCTTACTTCAGTCTCCCCGTGACCATGGCTGCTGCAAAGCATCCGAAACGTCGGGCCGAAGTTAAAAATCATTTTCAAATAAGTTTAAAATATATCGCGTTTTAAACCGTTAAAGTGTTTTATTTAAATACTTTATTCTCTTTAAAATTTCAAAAATTATTTATATTCGTCAAAAGATGTTTGTCTGTCTGTCGGGATTCTACAGAGTTCAAGGCAATATGAAATCATCTACCGATTAGCAGTTGGCTGATTAAATAAAACACTTTTAAGTTTTAAAACGCAAAATATCTGTGTTAAACCTGTGTTGTACTTGCGTAAACTACAGTGCGCACTTGGCTGGTTAATTTTTATTTACATTCAGCTGTCTCAGTTCATATTTTAATATATCCTCGTCTCCTCAAAGGGCAGACACATGCTTGTCAATTGTATTGTTACCTACACTGACAAGGGTAATAACCTAAATTCAAACCATTTATTTCACACATAAACAATGATAAACGGTTTAAATTTTAGTAGAATAATAGTATACCAAAAAGGGAGCTCAAGAAATCGGAGCCAAGTGCTTGTACATCATCACCTCAGACTAACGGAGAATCAAAGATTTTTAGTGCCAAAGGAAGTGGCTATTTTATCTATACAACTTTGAATTATTTCTTGTTGCTTAAAGCATCCATAGAGGAAGGCTATAAGCTACAAAACATCTGTGACTAATACAAGAGAAGATACAGCGAGAAATGTGAAAAAAATTGGGAAAGTTATTCATCAATATGGGTTTCCGAGGCGTACGCTGCAAAAAACGGCTCTAGATACCAAAAAACTATTCATGAAAGAATGATATAAACTAAATACTGGAATGTTATATCAACGTAATTCCAACTGAGCCATGCCGCCTGTTCTAAAATTATTGTGTGTATTATTTAATTAAAATAAAGAAAACTTACAGAAACGTTATTAGTAAAAACTATATAAGAGAAAACACAGGTGTCACCTTAGATTGTTTCACAATTAAAAGCTATTTATTTTTCACATAAGTATACTATGAACTTATCTAGGTCATATTATATTATATGGAATAGTCAAATTATTACGGATCAACAGACACCCCAGAATCGTTTATACCCAAGGCGACGATCACGGTTTATACTATGTTGATAAAAAATAAAAATCTATTTAGATTTAAACGTACAAAACTATTTGTTTGAGTTGAAAATGATTTGTGTTGGTTAGACAATTTATCGGCTATAAAACACCAGGCTGCGACAAATAGAAGATAAGAAATAGAAGGAGTTGTGAAAAAAAATACAGGGAAAATTATTATTCATCTATGAGGGTTTCCGTTGCGTGCGTGCGCGTGCACAACAGTTCAAGATACCCAAAAAATAAGTATGAAAGAACTGAATCTTTATTGTAATATTATTTTTATAATTAAAAAACTAATCATACAATAATTTTCAAACCAGTAGTTCCAAAGATTAGCGTGTTCAAACAAACAAACAAAATATTCAGATTTATCATATTTTCACTAACCAGCCTTGGGCCTTCGAGTCAATTATCCAGTGTCATACTCGACTAATATGTACTTAATGATTTCTCAGTTGACATATGCCTTTTTTGGTAACGACCCGCCCTATGCGACTATCTATCGGCGACACCTTTGTCGTTCGCCGAGTTCATTTACTAATCGCTTTCAAGAACGGCATTGCTTTAGTCAATTGTAATTATCATGTACTCTATCATTAAACATGTTCACATCTAGTGTTATTACTGTTCTTGTGTGCACTGTGTCCAGTTTTGCTTTGCGGAACGTTGAGGGGTGAGAATTGTTAGAAGTTATATCATTAATCCCGTTTCCCCTCGTGATCAGATTTCTGTGCCTGTTTCACTCATCGGTTTTGCAGGTATTTGATTAGAAATCTGTGCCCTGCCCGACCGAAACCCAGGACCTTTTGCGCTTAACGCAATGCTAGGCAACGCTTTTAACCACTTAGCTAAAGAGACGGTCAAAGTTATATTATAGTATTATATCTATTTTCGTATATTCTGTCATTCAATATATCCGTTTAAAAAATACGGTACGTTGCAAGTCAAATGTAGTGATCCTTGTCGGTTTGTTTAAGACATCTAAAAAAATATCACAACGCGTTATGAATATCTGTATAAATTCCATGAATTAAGAAGTAATTGTAAATTCTATTAAGAAGTAAATATTATTATATTATAATTATATCTTTGCAGAACAAAACCAGTTCTACAGAGAACAGTCGAAGCGCTATTCATGGATAGATCTCATAGCACCTATCCTGGAACTTGCAAAGTCTTTGTAGCATCAAACAAACAGGCCAAGCTGTGCAGACGTGAACCACTTCTGCCGAAGATCATACAGACAGCCAAAAAGCAAGCCATCAGCGCTTGCAACGAAACCTTCCAATACGACAGATGGAATTGCTCTTTAGTATTCAATAGGAAGCCCAGAAAAAGCATTTTTAACAAAATCTATAGAGAGACCGCTCTTGTCCACGCTCTCATTGCGGCTTCAATTACTCACGCGGTAGCAAGGGGTTGCGCATCTGGCGAACTAACCAAATGTTCCTGTTTGGGTACCTTCAAAAACTCCTCCTGGCAAATCAAAGGTTGTGGAGACGACTTCAAATACGGCAAACGGGTTACGAAGAACTTCCTAGATCTGAAACACGCTGGCAACGATCAGATCGGCGAAATCCTTAAACAAGACGTAAACATAGGCATGGACTCCATCGGGGAACAGCTGAAGGAAGTTTGTAAGTGCCACGGCTTCTCTGGTTCATGCACGACGAAGACGTGCTGGAAGAAGCTGAGTCCGTTCAACTCGGCCATGGGTTTGCTGAAGAAGCACTACCACCACGCGATGAAGAAGAAATTTGTGAATTACACGACAAAACGCGCGATCACTCCAAAAGTGAAGAAGAAGCTGGAGAAGGGGAGGAATAACCTGGTGTACTTGCAGAAGACGCCGAATTTATGCGTAAGCACGAAGGGAAGAGCTTGTAAGGACAGACATAATTGTGCGACTCTTTGTTGTGGTCGAGGGTACGTAGTGGAGAAGAAGCTGGTAAGCTCTAGATGCAGGTGTAAAATGGTGAATTGCTGTTTTGTAAAATGTGATACTTGTGTTGAGGAGGTCGAAATGTTTACGTGTAAATAGTACTATTTACCGATACGACTTTTAGAACTTTTTTATTTCGTTTCAATTGGGACACATTTTCTGTAAATAAACGATATCTTAATACACGCTGCTCTCTCACTCAATGCAATTGAAGTATATTATTAAAAATAATTCATTTATCCTATACAGTAATTTATAGTTCACGTAACTTTGAATACATATATTATAGTTTGGACGTTGGTCTTGTTCGTTGCTTAACAGCCTAGAATTGAAATTTCAAAGCCTGTGATAAATATTTATTGTTTTAGGAGGAGGTAAAATCTAAAATGTTATAGAGTAAAGCGTTCAAAAAATGTATACTCTATTATTGTATTTAAATTAATAAAGAAATGTCAAAAATATGCCTTTTTATAAGTCGCAAATATTATGTCAATAAAATAATGATCATATTTTTGCCAAAAAAATATTTTATATGCGTAATTTGACTACAGAGACCTCTAGACTAAACATGCCACACTAAAAAAAACCATGGTACACAAATAACTACTTATTCTTTCATTAAACGAGGTTTCGTCTAACATGTATAGAGGGCGTTTCATTCAAAACTATGCCATCGTATACAATCCTTACTTTCATACTAATATTATAAATGCGAAAGTAACTCTGTCTGTCTGTTACTCTTTCACGCCAAAACTACAGAACGGATTTGATTGAAATTTGGTACACGGATGGTCTACACCCTGAGAAAGAACATAGGCTTCTTTCGTAGGTCGTAGGTAGGTTTAGGGGTCGTAAAGGGTTAAAAGGGGGGGTGACAGTTTGTATGGAAATTCGTGATTTCTGAAGCTAGAACAATGAAACTTTCTTCTTTGGCTTTTTGGGAATAGGAGTGGGAGTGGGAGTGAGTGTAGGAAGAAGAGTGGGAGTTAGAGTAGAAGTGATGTGAGGTGAGAGTTTTGGGGCAAAGTTGCACTTATAAGTTACAACATAGATTGGCAGCCCTAAATGCGCCCTTACATAAATTAATAAACAGCTTAAATAATTAAAAATTCTACCACAAATTACTACTCCACGCGGGCGAAGTCGCGGGCATAGCTAGTTTACAATAATTATTTAATTTTATCTAAAGTAGTTGTATCTTAGTTACTGACGCATTATTTTTAACTATATCAATTATTCTTCAGAAATTAAATGATAACTTTATTAAATAATAACAAGAGTACAACTATGTCTTGTCGACGAAAGGAACAATTTGGCATGACGCGCTATAAAAGAATCCATTAGTAATTTTAAAATTAACTTAGCATCCGCAAACATTCCCAAATGAATCAAACCCACTACCTAATTTAAATGGTTATAAATGCTAATGAATAACACGGCGAGTGTATTACTAGCTTAAGACCCCAACATTATTATTATGACGCCTATAATTGACCCATAAACCATTAAGGCTGACCACAAATTGTGGTTTGTTTTCGATGCCAACGCGCATAATTATAGCGTTATTATTAAAAAGTTAAAAAACAGCAGCTTCGAGATTTATTTATTAAAGCTCACTAACCCTTACTATTGTACTTGTAACTCGAACGCATATAATAAATTCGTTTAAATCGAGAATGTGTATTATTTATTTCTGTGTACACGACCTGGTAGTCGACCGAATGTCCGTGATAAATCATGATTTTTGTACTAAACCCTGTATAGTCAAACTTTTGGTTTTATAATAAATGATTACCTTACTTTACCATTGAGGTAAAGTAAGGTAATCATTTATTATAAAGCTTAGTTTATTTTTTTCCAAGTATTTCATTACTGTTCTTACGCCAATTTCTTTTCCAGAATAATATTGAAATTATTGATGTTAGGAATGAAAAAGTTTTAGACCATTAAAGGCGAAATTTCACATACTCTAGAGGACTAACTATTTTTTGTTAACGAGACATGCAATCGAAATAAAAACTAAAAATAGATACAACTGAAACCGATTGCGTTAACACTTTTGCCGCCATGTTGCCATCTGGAAATGACAATTGTTGTAGCAATGATTATTCTTAACATTTTTTACCTTTAAATCGAGATACTTTCGAGTTCCGTTAGTAAGACCTTCAATACAGAGAAGGCGGTCAAGACAATGACTATAAAAAGTATGTTACCCGACCAATTACAGGCCATTAAACATAGGATTTTATAACTTAATGTAGTTCTTTCTCACTGTTCATTTAGATAATTGATATTGTTACCATTTGCTATTGTAAGGTAAGAATCTTTTGCAAAGTAGTCGTATATTATCGAATTTATTAAGAAGACCTAATATTATCATTCATTTGTAGTGAAGTATAGTGCAAAAATAATTAAGTTTAAATTTAAGAACAAGAAGCCATTTAATAAATAGTTGTATGTGTAATAATTTTTAAATAAAATACTTTAATGAGTTATAATGCAAAATCTACTTGTATACGAACACGATGCTGTACAGCACCCGTGGTTATGGGCCTGAAGGACTGCAGGCTGGGGGCTGAAAACGGAGGGTGCCCTTGATATCTAAGTCAAATCTTCAATGCTAGCGCCATCTGTTTCCACGTAGTTGATATTTAGAGAAACTACCTTATACCGTGTTTCATTTGAATGTGCACTACGATGATAAACTGCAGACAGTATATCATCGTTATTTTAAGTTGGTCAAGTACAATATTGAACAGATAGCATAAAATGCATATTTATTAAAATTTAGCTTTATTTTCAAAGTTTTATCTTCTTCTCTCGATCAACAACTACATACATTTAAGATAGAAAAACTCCCAGTAGAGGCATTATTCCTCGTGCACAGATAACATTCCTCCGCTCGCTCGCTACTCGATAGGTGTATCGAATAAAAAATCGATCGTCCACCGAACGGAAATCAAATGTCGCGATTGATTATTAATGTTCGTTTAAACCGATGAAGTTGTCGATACGATGCACGAAAACGTTAACAAAAAATGATTAAAAGTTAAACACTACTTGTTGTTTTGTCCATCTGTCCGAGTCTCGCTTAATTAATTATTTTAAATGCGATATTATGCATATCGCATCACACGCATCGATTAGTTCGGAATTTGAATCTTTAATCGTTCACGTCACTCTCCCTGTGGGAATGTTTAGTCTGTGCCACGAAATTGCCGCGAAAAATATCGATCTGTATCTATATATATTTTCCAGTATTAATACTGATTATGTATTTTTAATTATTTAAATAAACCATTATACATAACTATTAGATTGATAAGCATGTACAAAATTCATTCGAGTTTGTGTGTATGTGAAAATTTAATTTGTTTTGGTAATAATTTATTAATATGAGTCTAACATCTACAGTAGAAGTTACGTAACATTAATAAAATAACAAAAGTTTTATATCTAGTCTAGAATATATTATCGATGATAATCTTTTCATAACAAAGAAGAACAATGTTAAGTGTCCTTTCAATCTTTCAATTTGGCTGTTGACGATAACCACAGCTTATAACTCACTTTAACCATTTATAAAAATCATGTATCATTTTTTTTAAATTATGGCAAGAAGATATAACTATTTGCCAGTTGTATGACATTTTTATAATAGATTTTTTGACATTGACATAAGATGTCCATTTATTTCCTCCACAGACCATGCAAAGACCTGCTTTTTAGAACGAGTATACAAGTAATTATCTATATATTTTTTTATTTGAGCTTACCATACAATACAAAGATTACAGCATTACCACCCACAAGCCGTATTCGCCAAACATTCTTAACGTAAAAAGGGTAATTTTAAATTCATTTCAATTATCAATACAACGCAACGCAAAACGCCTAATTCAAGTAGGTACTTAATATTGTCTGGATTATGAGACAATGGGGTATAATCTCTTGTATTTAGTGAAATTTGACAAAGAGTTAACAGTTGAGATCACAGCTATGGATAATTAGGGTCCGAGCCTGACGCGTTTAAAGTTTTTCAGTAGGAAAGGGATCGAGATCGCTTACGAAGTCAGCGGATCGGAAAATTGGCATCATGTTTAGGGTTTAATAACTTAAAATGCACAAATTATACAGCTTCTGAGAATGGTGAGGCCATTATGATGTTCTTTCGCCGCTTTGTAACAGATATTGCCTACTGCGTCGGCAGTTACCTTTATTTTTACCCGATTTATTCTCGCTGGTGCAATGGTAGCAATGTAAAGCTACCAATAAACAATGGGTTCCATTCCCACCGGGTTCAAGATTGTTCTAATCAATTTATAATTTTTCTGATACATGTTGGACTTCGTCTAATAATCTAGATATTAAATGAATTGTAATATCGAAAATCAGTCCGGTCACGAATCACCGTTCACAGCTGTAAAAAGTTCTTCGCGTTTCGGTTTAGTCTGTGGATTTCCTAATATCTAAAGCCAAAATAGATCGACAACACATTAAGTTGAAATGTTAATTGGCTGGAGTGGACCATCAAGTATGTCTGTCTTCCTTTATCATAAAAACCTACGAAACGGATTCAGTTTATATAAACTTTTTATTTTTTTTTTATATTATAGACATCACATGTAGAGGTTATATCAACTGATTCTCAATCAACTCGAATCCATTTTACCTGCTCGTATGTAATCCCCCTACAATGGTGTCAGGGATGAATAACATTTGTTCGTGACTGAATTTACAGTTACATCGATCTATTTACATCACGCGAAGCATGTGATGCGGAGGAATGTATTGAGATGGATTACAAACCCATAAGTTAAGCGCCGTGTAAGTAAGAGATGACTAATGATATATGTAAAAAGGTTTTTGTCTTCTGATTGTAAGTTAACCCCATTTACTCTGGTATATGTAGTAATAATTTAATTATAATAATCACCATCGTTTATTAAGCAGACTTTATTTCAAAATCGAATGAGACTTTTAGTTTGGTTATTAAATATTTGACTTATGTTGTAAGGTTCTCACTAGAATTAAAGGAATAAAATAAAATATTCATGATATGATGTTCATCATTTTAACAGAGAATGTACGTATCATTA